ATTTTACACTATACACAAAAAATTAACTCAAAATGGATTACAGACATGAACATAAAGCCTGAAAACTGTAAAACTCCTCGAAGAAAACAGGGGGCAAGCTCCTTGACATCACTTTTAATGATGATTTTTTGGCACAGACACCAAAAGCAAAAATAAACAAGTAGGATCATATCAAAGTAAACAGCTCCTATACAGCAAAGGAAACCATCAACAAAATGAAAAGGCAACCTAAATAATGGAAAAAAATATCTGCAAATCATTTACCTGATAAGGAACTAATATCCAAAATGTATAAAGAATTCAGTCAATTCAATAACAAAAAACAATCCAGTCAAAAGATGGATAGAGGATCTGGACAGACATTTTTCCAAAGACATACAGATATAAGGCCAACAGGTACATGAAAAGATTGTCACCATCACTAATCATCAGGGAAATGCAAATAAAGCCATAAAGAGACATCACCTCATATCTGTTAGAATGGCTATTATGAAAAAGACAAGAAATAACAAGTGTTGGTGAGGATGTAAAGAAAAGGGAGCCCCTGTACACTGCTGGTGGGAATGCAAATTGATGTAGCCACTAGGGAAACCACTATGGGGGCTCCTCAAAAAATTAAAAATAGAACTACCATATGATCCAGCAATTCTAGGTGTTTACCCAAAAGAAAACAAAAGCACTAACTTGAACACATACATGCACCCCAATGTAGCACTATTTACAATAACCAAAATATGGAAACAACCTAAGTGTCCACCAATGGATGAATACATAAAGAAAATGTGAATATATACATATACACATATATATATGTCAGCCATATAAAAAAAATGAAATCTTGCCATTTGTGACAAATGGTTGGACCTTGAAGGCATTATGCTCAGTTTAATAAGTCAGACAGAGAAAGATATTGTATGATCTCACTTACATGTGAAATCTTAAAAATCAACCAACAAACAAAAACGCCAAGCTCACAGATATAGACAATAGACTGGTGAAACTAATAGAATACTGTATATCAATAATACCTCAATTAAAAAAAAGAACAGTTGCTATATTTATGTGCATCCAATTCTGGACTCTTTCGTTTTTATGTGTGTCTATTCTTTCAGCAACACTCTATTATCTTGGTTACTGGAAGAACTGACATCTTAACAATATTGATTGTCCCAATCCATGCACATGGTATTTCTATTTATTTATGTCTACTTTGACTGATTTTTCAGTCAGTATTTTGTAAGTTGGTTGCATCACACAAATGGCATACATATTTTGTTAGATATATACCTAAGTATTTATTTTTGGGGGGTGCTATTATAAATAGTACTATAAAAAATTTTGAAGTTCCTATTGTTCATTGCTAGTATACAGAAAATACAACTGAATTCACAGATTAGACCTTAAAAACTATGAATTTCCTAAATTCACTTATTCTAGAAGTTTTTTGGTAGATATTTTGGGATTGTCTAAAGTAGGCTCATGTCTTCTATGAATAGAGGCAGTTCTATTTCCTCCTTTAACATCTACATGACTTTTCTTTTTCTTGCTTTATTATACTGGGTAGATTGATTTTTTAGTTAGCAAAAGTTTAAGGAAAAACAGGATTATTTGTACAGAGTATATAAATATGTCAGGGGAGATATTTAATAATCATAAAGTGAAAAGTGGCAATTTTACAATGAAGAAACATGGGAAATATCACTTTAACCAAGTGATTAAGATTAACATCACCAATAAATCATTTTCTCTTAGTACACTAAAAAAAAAGCACATGACTTCTGTAGTATTCTTGTGAAAAAAAAGCTTAACATTGACCTAAATATGTGCAAGTATCAGATAAACTCAAATTGAGCGACATTCTACAAAATAACCGGCCAGTACTCTTCAAAAGTGTCAAGGCCATGAAAGACAAGAAGGGACTGTACAACTGTTCACAGATTAGGGGAGACTAAGGAAATGTGAGAACTAAATGCCATGTGGGATCTGAGATTGAATTCTAGAACAGAAAACAAAGTCATAAACGGAAAACTGGTGAAAACCAAATAAAGTATATAATTTAGTTAATATTGTACCAATGTTAATCTCTTAGTTTTGATAACTGTAGCATGGTTATGCAAGATGTTTACATTAGGGCAAGCTGGGTAAAGGGTAGGCAGGAAGTCTAGGTCCTGCTTTTTTTTTTTTTTAAAGATTTATTTATTTGAGAGACACAGACCAAGCAGAGGGAGAGGGAGACAAGCAGACTCCCTGCTGAGTGGGGAGCCCATAATGGGGCTGGATCCCAGGACCCTGAGATCATGACCTGAGCCGAAATCTAAAGTAGGACGCTTAACCAACTGAGCCACCCAGGCGCCCTTTTCTGTCTTATTTTTGCAACTTTTCTGTAAGTCTAAAATTACTTTAAAATAAAAAGGTGAAAAAAAAAAAATTCTCCTAGCTTCTGGGTTGAGAATAGACCACAGGAAGGCACAGACAGAAATAGGGAGAATGATATGGAGGATGCTAGGGTAATCCAGTTAACAAATTATAGTTTCGGGATGCCTGGGTGGCTCAGTCAGTTAAGCGTCTGCCTTTGGCTCAGGTAGTGATCCCAGGGTCCTGGGATCAAGTCCCGCATCCGCCTCCTTGCTCAGTGGGCAGCCTGCTTCTCCCTCTGCCTGCCACTCCCCCTGCTTGTGCTCGCTCTCTCTCTGGCAAATAAATAAATAAAATCTTAAAACAAACAAATTAGTTTCATAGATCAGGATGGTACAAATTGAGGTGATGAAAAGTATTTGCATTATAGATCTATTTTGAATATTATTTCCTGAAAGAAAGCTTTAAAGAGTGTAGAAACAGAAGAGTCTCGGATATTAATTATCCAATAGAATAAAATAACAAAAGGAATAAAATAAGGACAACGTCTTATTCCCAAATCCTTGAAGAACCATTCCCCACTAGAAAATGAGTAGAAAGGACACTCCAAGAAAAATCAATGCTATTTATTACTAATTTTGGTACCAAACGTCTAACCCCTACCCAGTCTCTTAACCCAGAGTATTTAGCTGTGCCATGTGTAAATCACAAGGTCCACTGGCCCCTCTAGCTTAGATTTCTCTGATGGTGAGAAGAGAAAGAGAAAGGGGAAAAAAGGTTAAGACTAGCTGTCTGAATGCATTACATTCCTGTCACTTTGTACCAAAACGTACAAACCCTAGAGGCCCAACTATATCTCTAAAAATTCCTTGATGTTAAAACATTTCTTTTAGAGGAATAAGGAAAAAGGCTTGTCTTGCCCTCTTCTAGAGCCTAAGGTGTAGAGTTAGCTTCAGTGATAACAGGGTTTAAGGATGTGATCATAGAAGTATGCAGGTGAAGGGGTAGTGGTAGTCTTTTGGATTTACTTTCTGTAAAATCTTCAATGGCTTCCTACAAATGACAGATTATAGTCAAATTCTCAGGAAGTGCATACCTAAGGCTGTACCATAAAATCGTTTTCAAAAACAATGAGTTGGGGATTTGCATAAGGAAATAAGCTAAGATAAGGCTGAATAGCTAGGTAGGACAGGACCCTTAGATTCCTGTCCTAAGTTTGGCTTCAGCTTTCAACTTAATTTCAGATCATCACAGTTCTTAATGATATTTCGCACTTCTGAAAATGATAGGATTATTATATGATATTAATATAATAATAATTTTGACTTTAAACTTGGCCAGTGTAATTTAGTGTTATATATATATCCTGTTTGCTCTGACAGACCGATTAAATGCAATGGGGTGTAGTGAAAGAGCTTTTAAGCTAGAAAGACCTAGAATCTTGGCAAGTCTGTTAATGACAACATCCATTTTCTTGTCAAGAAAATAATACTCATTTCTGAGGGCCATTGTAAAGATTAAACGTAATAATGTACATAAAGTTCCACAACTCATAAGAAATAATTGACACAACATATCCTCTATTCCACTAAAGACTATAAAGTACACCCATACAAGAAATACCTTATATTTCTCTATATGAAGAATGTTTGTAGTATTGAATTTTTACTAATGAAACTCATAAGATCAGAGATAGAAAGGACTACATTTAAATCCTATCAGCGTATACTCCCAAGATTTAACCATAAAAGATTTAATGGCTTGTAAGTAAATGCCTTTCACATTAGATAACCTAAAAAGCCCATCCTGAAATTGACCATAAGATGATCACTGAAATCCTGTATGAAATGTAATTAGTACTCTTTCATACTTCATATGGATGTTAGAATATCATAGGCATTTAATGAGATACAGGTTGCCCCAAAAGATAATGCCAGGAAAACATGACTTATTAAAATTTAACATGACTTAATGTTCACGTTTTATTCTTTTAAGAACTGGAATGCCAAACTGCCGTTTTTAAAAATCCATGCAGATTTTAGCAACTAGCAACAATAACAATAGAAAGTATTGCAGTAACATGAAACTGGCATAGTTCCTTAGGAAAAATGACTTGAGATAAAAAGGCTGAATATGATTGCCCAAATGACGATAAAGAAGGCCTTTAGAAATATGATGTCAAGCTAGTGAGAATCTACTAAGGAATCTTCCATCCGCCTGTAAGGTTACGACTCACTGTAGCAGCTGGTTTCTATGCACCCTTGACCCCTCAACATAAATCCCTTTATCTTAATTCTGTTACTGTAACAGATTTTTAAAATGTAAGCTAGGGGTGCCTGGGTGGCTCAGTGGGTTGAGTTTCTGACTTTGGCTCAGGTCATGATCTCAGGGTCCTGGAATCGAGTCCCGCATCAGGCTCCCCGCAGAGAGGGCAGTCTGCTTCTCCTCCCTCTGCCCCTTCCCCCTGCTTGTGCTCTCTCGGTGTCTCTCTCAAATAGATAAATAAAATAATTTTTTAAAAAACGAAAGCTATATTACTTTATTATAAACAAAAAACTCTGAATGCAATCATTAATTAACACAACTAAGGATACAGTTTAAATGTCATAAATATACTACTGAAATGTTTGTTAACTTATACTTACCAATAAACAAAACAATAAAAAAAAGCAATTTAGGGGGTGCCTGGGTGGTTCAGTTGGTTAAGTGTCCAACTCTTGATCTTAGCTCAGGCCTTGATCTTGGGTCGTGAGTTTAAGCTCCCTGTTGGGCTCCACATGTGGAGCCTACTTAAAAAAAAAAAAAAAAAAAAAGGAAAGAAAGAAAGAAAAGCAATTTAGGCTTGCTATCACAAGAAAACTGAAATGATTTACAAGCACTGATTTTTAACGAATGCATGGAATCACAGGCATAGAAAGGACAGCCAATAGTTTGTCTGTCTTCCTCATTAGGTTATGGGGAACCTATTTTATTGTTCTTGTCTAAGTCTAATGCTTCAGTAAGATTCAAATTTATATTACTGAATGCACAATCAGTTCACAGTACTTCTAAGCAATGTATGGAGTGGTGCAGGTGTCAGCAAATGTTTCCTTTTTTAGTTTCTTAATTTTTTATTTTGAGATAACTGTAGATTCACATACAGTAATAAGTAATTTTAAAAGACACTTAGCACAGTACCTGGCACACAGAAACCCACTCAACAAATGTTAGCTATTAGGTAATTAGAAAAAAGGAAGAAAGCATTCATAATGGGCCTTTGAGGAACAGCTTCTCTGCAGAATGCTTGAGGTGTACACACATAATACCTTAAATAATCTCTCAATGACCCCAGCAACGAGGGCAGCAAAGGAAAGGAGGATGAACCAGGATGGTACCAATTCTGGCCTTGCTATTAACTTGCTATGTGGTCCTGGCTATCAGTCAGTCTCATTTTCTCACTAGCCAAATGGACCTTAGGGCCCTGTGTGTTCTGGCCTCATCTGTCCCCTCTCTTCCCTTATCTCCTGCTTCTTTTCCCCTTAGGGTGTTGCTCTAGTTGCATACTGTCTGCATTCTAGTTTTTCTACAAACATGCTTTGGCCTTGGGGCCTTTTCACAGTCGGAAATGATCTTCCTCAGAGAGCCCTTCCTTGGCCACTTTTTAATACTTATCCCTGCTTATCTTTTCTTCATAAAACATATGTAATGATATAGTAACTAATGATTTACTCATTTCCTCTCTTCTCCACTAAAACAAGTTCCATGAAGGCAGTCTTTATTTGCTTCACTATCATATCCAGCCCCAAGAGTAGTATCAGGCATTTGTTGAATGGATAATTGAGTGTATGTATGTATGTATGGTTCCTAAGCTCCCTTTTCAATTCTGGTATGCTATGATTAAATTATGGGCTTGTGGAATTGGTGAACATCTCAGAAGTTCAAGTCTGAGCCTGAGGTCTAAACAGTTCTTTTGGCTCTCTCTCCTTCCTTCCTTCCTTCCTTCCTTCCTCCCTCCCTCCCTCCCTCCCTCCCTCCCTCCCTCCCTTCCTTCCTTCCTTCTTTCTTTCTTTCTTTCTTTCTTTCTTTCTTTTTTAAAGTAATCTCTATGCCCAACGTGGGGCTCGAGCTTATGACCTGTAGATCAGAGTCATGTATCAAGAGTCATATGCTCTGCCAGGTGCCCCTTTTGGCTCCAATTTTTGATAACTGCCTTGCCTTAATGGACCTTTAAAAATCATCTCCAAATGTAACATACACATCCTAACCACAGCCACACACATGCACAAATAGACAAATATCACTGAATTCAAGAATCATTGTATGCTATGTGTGAAACACAATACATACACAATATTTCCTTAGCCTGGAATATCAGTCCTTATACAGTTTAATCCCAATTTACATTGATAACTTCAATTCTGACCATACTCCTTTCCAAAAAATCCTCTACTCTGGCTATAGTGGACTATTTATCCTTCTCGGGGACACCAGGTAATCTTCTGTGCCTTTGCCCTCACTGGTCTGTTTGCTTGGAAGGTACAGATTCCCCTTCATAACTGCCAAATACCTTATCTTTCCCAGTTGTCAAATGTCTCATCTTTGAGGTCCAACTCAAATATCACCTCTTCTGTGAAGCCTTCCTTGATCTCTCAGAAATAACTGTCTACTCCATAGGCTTCCATCATAGTGATCATCACGGTAGTCTACTTACTTTACCTGTTTTTCCTCTTTAATCACTTATGGGCTTCAAAGACCTCAACCATATGTTTGCTTTCTCCTTATTGCTAAGGACCTATACCTGTGCCCAGCACAAATATTTATCAAATTGGATGTTAACATGGCACCACATCTAAGAACGCTTTCTAACCTTTGCTGGCAGACTTGATCAGGTAGTTCCTCCTTCCTACTGTTCAAAAGTTGGTTTCCCTAATATTTCTACCCACAGCAAACTTTTTCTGTAAAGGGCCCGACAGTAGATATTTTAAGCTTTGTGAATCATATGATCTCAGTCGCAACTAGTCAACTCTGCTGCTGTAGCTTGAAAGCCCTAGGCAGTATGTCATAGAATGGTTCCAATAAAACTTCATTTATAAAAATAGGCAAGGAGGTTTGGCCTATGGGTTGTAGTTTGTCAACGCCTGATTTGATGGAAGGAGTACAGCACAGTAGAACAATTTGGGTTGGAATCCCATATTTACTATTTCCTAGTTCTAGCACAAATCCCTTAAAGTCTTAGGCATAAGGTCACCTGCCTTGCAGCATTGTCATGATTATCTAGGTAAAGTATGTAATACAGTGCCTGTCACATGGTAGGTACTCAACAGATTTTTAAAAAAGATTTATTTTAGAAAGAGAGTGGGAGGAAGGGGGAGAGGGAGAGAGAATCTCAAGTGGACTCCCTGCTGAGTACAGAGCCCAACTCGGGGCTCAATACCACGACCCTCGGTACTCAATAAATTTTATCTCCCTTCCTCTATCAGGATCTGTAAGTCATTAATAAAGATTCAGTTGTTGCCTTTAAAGAACTCAATACTCATTCTTTTTAACAATGAAACCTTAAGAAAAATGTCACCAACTCTATGTTCTATATCAGGAATAATACATAACCGGTAGTCTAGACTTTATCAGTTTTTAAACTTGCCAACAGACACCTGATAAATTTAAACTTGCCAACAGACACCTCTGTTTTTTCAATTTCCTCTGAACCAAGGTTAATTCCATTTTCATTATATTTGTAAGTCAGTGCCAATATTAATAAAGGTTTCTCCTATGTAACTGCACTTACAAACACTAAGTGAAAGGGTTATAGAATTGAGTACAAAGCCAGGAAAGAGAATCTCACATTAGAAATTACTGTAAACATGCATACACACATACCCCTATCTTTGGCAGGAAGTAAGCGGTCTTAGTCTTAAAATGTTGTTAAAAATGAAGTCTGGTTTAAGAGTTTTGGGGTTAGCTTGCCTAACTGCATGTTAAGTCAAAGTCAAATGTGGCTTTACCTTTGGTGGCTTCCCAGAAGTTCATGAATACCTCCAGTTTACAGGAAAACTTATGAGTATTAGACAGTAGTGTTATGAAAATGATCTGAGCTGAGAAAAATCTTTTAACAAAGAAAGCAACTTCTCATTAATAGGCATTCCTGAATTAAAAATGCACTTTGGTGTTACTACAGTATCTTCTTATGGCAGCATTCAAAATACAATGGCTATATAAATGCAAAAGTATTATCATGACAGTACTAAAAAACTCAATGTGTTAGTTTGGCTGCCTGAGGTTTCTCAGCAACCAAGGAAAAGGAGATAATCCAACATATTCTGGCCTCTCTTGGATAACTTTTATGTCCATACAGCTTTCACTGTGGAAAAGGATGCTGCAGTCAGAAAAGGCAGAAATGAACATCGCTGCCAAGGGCAGCACCTGACTGCCTCTCTTTGCCAAACCATCAAATGAACACTGAAAACAGCATGAGGTCAAGCAGAAAATTGTCCAAACTTGGGATATAACCAGTCTATAAAACATTACTTTTACTTTTCTATTCCCATTAAAACATAATTATCTGTAATGATCACAGAACTCAGAACTCTCCACACAAGTAAATTTTTCAGATAGCTGAAATTTTTCTTAGGCAATATTCAGCTTTCATATACTTGACTTTCCAACTACTTAAAATGTTAATGTGTTATATTCGAACTTCCCCTTCACCACTACTTTTCATACTTTGAATTCAGAATTTCACAGTGCTGAAAAATTAACATTTCAGTCTCTAATGCTATAGTGCTGTCAGCAAATAGCTTAATTTCTGCAACTTTGGCGTCTCTTGATTATTCAGCACTGTGAGAGATAAAGGTTGCCTAAGAAATGTGAAAATTATAGACTCATCCCCATGAAAGTTGGCTCACTGATCTTCTGGGTGCTTTTGGCTATATTGGCTAAAAAAGGGTGGGGACCAGGGGTGGGCACGGAAAGGGAAGAAGAGGAGTACATCCCAGGTAATACCTTTTTTAAAAAAATTAATTAAAAAATTTTAATTGAGGTATAGTTGACACACAATGTTATTTTAATTTCAGATACATGACAGTGATTTGACAATTCTATACATTAAGCTTGCTCATCGTTAAGTGTAGTTACCATCTGTCACCATACAAGTTATTACCATATTAGTGACTATAATTCCCTGTGTTGTGCTTTTTATTCCTATGACTTATTTGTTTTATAACTACAAGTTTGTACCTCTTAATACTCCACTTTTAATACTCCGCCTATCCTTCCCACCCCCTTTCCTCTGGCAACCACCACTTTATTCTCTGTATTTAAGATGTTTCTGTTTTCTGTTTTTTAGATTCCACATTACAAGTGAAATCATATGGTATTGTCTTTCACTTAGCATAATACCCTCTAGGTCCATCCATGTTGTTGCAAATGGCAAGATTTAATTCTTCTTTACGGCTGAGTAATATTCCTCTGTGTGTGTGTGTGTGTGTGTGTATGTGAGAAAGAGAGAGAGAGAGAGAGTGGGAGAGAGATCACATCCTCTTTATCCATTTGTCTATCAATGGACACTTAGGCTGTTTCTATATCTATTGCCTATTGTAAATAATGCTGCAATAAACATAGGGGTGCATATATCTTTTTGAATTAGTGCTTTTGTTTTCTTTGGGTAAATACCCAGTAGGGCAATTACTGGATCATATGGTATCTCTATTTTTAATTTTTTGAGGAACCGCCATACTGTTTTCCACAGTGGTTGCATTAATTTACATTCCCACCAGTGTATGAGGGTTCCTTTTTATCCACATCTTTGACAACA